GCCAATGCTGACCCAGCCACGACAGGAATCCAGAGGCGGCTATAGACTCTCAGCGGGAAACACAACCTCATTAAAGCCAGTTGTGAGATTAGAACAAGAAAATCAGATCAGAATATAAAGAGAACACCTTTTAATGCAAAAATGGATTTTCATTGCTTGAAAAGGGAGTATAATACTATTTATAATACTAATAGATGCTTGCGGTTTTTAAAAGAAATAACCTAAAGAAAGCAAAGAAACTTCTCTATAAATGTAAAGTTTGACAAACTCTAAGTAAGCCATGTCAGAGGAACAGCAGAACACATGAGACCTCTGAATAATGTGTGACATTGGTCAAGACAATGGACCAGGAGAACTTCTTGGTTCAACCCTTCTCATCTGCCACAGAGAGCAATTTACAGACTTTCTACCCTGGGCAATGTGTTCTGATATAGTGTGAAGAAACTAAACACAATTGACTAAGGGAAAAAAATATAAGAAGATAATTTATTCTGAAAGTGGGAGGGGAGATCCAATCTTAGAGGCTAAAACAACAACTGAATTGATGGGTCGCATTTAAGGAGCTTTTATTATTTGCCTGTTTCTGTGTTAAGCACTTCATGTGCATTAGCTCATTTTTATCTTGAAGAAGCAAAGACCTTCTCAATCGGTCATAAAGAGAACCACTCCCTGTCTCGCCATAGGTGTGTCAGAGGGAGAGACGCTGCTGCTACTCTGTTGGATGACATGGGGACAGGGCCTCTGGTGTGCAGCTTAGGCAGGATCCTGGATGAGCCACTTCCATCTCACAATAAATAGCTGCTGGGTCTTCCTTTTCATATGGTTCAGAGGGTAGGACAGAACCTACGTCGTGATGCTGCGTTTTTTTACTAAGGCCTGGTAACATGCTATTTTTAGGAAAGTGTACTATTCGACACTGCATTTAGCATGGCTTTGCTCCAGAACTCTAGGGGTCTACATTGTAAATCTCCGTTTTGAGTTCTTCATAAATTCCACATGGTACCTAGACACTTTCAATGAGGTAGGTCATATGGTACAAGTAGCAGGGCTGCTTGAACTGTAGCCTAACCCCGCTTCACAGCTTTCTGTGGTCGGCCTCCCTCAAAGTTTGCAGCCTTTGGGTCATCTGGTTTATGGGGTGCTACGATTTCCTTAGGAGTAAAATTTGTTGCTTCTAAAACCTGAAGGGCCCTAGGAGTTTTGCTTCCTTTGTAATGGAAGGAGATGAAGATGTAATAATGTGTTCTTTCTTTTGGAGCAATGTCCTAGCACACCACAAATTATTGAACTCCTAAAAATGTCCCTGATGTGAAATGCTCTTAAATCTTTGGAAAGTTAACTGCCTTCTCTCTGGAGCAAATATGCATTACTAAGTTATCTAATATATTGTCATTTCTTGAACATCCAATAAATAGTACAAGGTCATTAATACGATGCACCAGTGTAGTGTTCTGGGCACAGTCAGATGGCCAAGGTCTCTTTGGACTATATTATGACAGAGGGTAATAAAGATAGCATAGCCCTCAGGGAAGACTATAAATTAATTCTATTGTTCATTTCATATGAATGAGAGCAGTTTGTTTCTGAGCTTCCTTTCTGACGGGTATGGAGAAGGACACATGCTCTAGATTAATGAATACATGAATACTGAGTTCAAATTAATGTTTTAGCAAAGAAACTACACATCACCACTTCAAATAGAGTTGAGGCAACTACTTGGTCGAGTTTGTGGTAGTCCACTAATATTTTTCCAGAATGCATCTGGCTTGTATAGGGGCCAGACTAGTGGAGTGAAATAGGGAGATAATGGGAAGCACCACTGCTGGATCCCTCAACTCATTCAGGATGGCTCTAATTTCTACCACCCTGCTCTCTGTTTTGTTTGCATTTTCTATCTTAACTGGGGGTAAGGGTCAGTGTAAGTAAGAGACTGTTACTAAAATATCCTTCTATCATAGCTCTTACCCCAGAGTACAAGGAACAAATCTGGGAGCTGGGCTGGATTCAAGTTTCCTGTTTGAATATACTCACATCCTAGGTGTACGATTACCTGGGCACATGGCAGTCTGTCCCTTTGAAGTAATTCTGAGGGTACCGTATCTATGTATATCTGCCGTAGTATTATGGGAACCCTTTATCCTGGAGACCTAGCCTTTTCTTCATCTAAAGAGTTCAGGATGAGGTATCTGGCTTGGGTCTAGAAAGTGGGCAAGGAATTATGCCTTTTTATTGGGGATGTTTCCTGCCATCTCCTAACTATTCATAGTTGTTTTACTTGTATAGAATAACTAATACTATTGTTGACTAACAGTTGGCCTTTCTTAGAGGTATTGAACCTATTAACCATCTTATTAAACATACTCTCTCAGGTCCAACTCCTGTGAGTGCAACGCCAGTATTGCTGCTCATTATAATTGTCTTCTTTCCCCCTGACTCCCGAATGCCATGACATCAGTTCTGTTATTTCAGGGCTCTATCATCCCCTTGCTCTCAGTTCCAAAGCTACATCTTCTGGTGTCTCTCTTACCAGCTGGTGATGCTGGTGCCCCTCTCCTCGGCCCACTTATTATTGCCTTGACACTGAAGATCTAGCTAGTTTGAACCTTGAAACTTTTGTGGAGCTCTGCTATTCTTGTTATTAAATATGACGCTTGTTCCTAGGCTTTTTATGCTCTGTGCATATAGGAAATTAGAGTCACTGTAATGTAGCTAGAGTCCTCTGTCTTTCAAGTCTGTCATTTAATTGCTAATTAATTACTCTCAGCCTTTCATTTTCTTTTTGCCAGTCACCAACTGCCCTTGCTTATTACTGCTTGCAGTGACAGAGAAAACATTTTTCCTAGACTGCTATTAACTAATCTAATTTAAAATATGCTTGCTGGCTTGTGCTGAGTCAATAGTTCCAATTTTGGCTTGCAAACACAGTCATATCCTTAAGCATCTAGTAAAATATTCTGCTGTCCCCAGGACATATCCGTCATTGTTCTAGATGTCAAAATGAGAAAGCATGAAAATGTAGCTCTTACAAATGATTATTAATTTCAGATAAAATGAAGCAAAATACATTCATGGACTTTCAATATTTCTTATTTTCTATCAGAGAGTGAATGTTTTTCATATAAAATGTTCTTCACAACTGCTCCTTGGCGTCATCCTCAAATCCATCAGCTGGCACCATTCCCCACATACATTCCAGCCATACAGGAAGCTGCACCTTTCTTCCTCACCTCTGAGTTATCTGTGCCCTTCCCTACCTACAAGGCTCAGCCCTCCTTCCTAAATTGTATTTTGTCTTGATAATCATTTTGTAATATATACAGATATAAAATCACATTGTACTGCTTAAACTCGTGCAATGTTAAATGTCAATTATATGTCAGTAAAACTGGAAAAAAAAACCCCAAGTCAAACATTGTGGGATCTACCACCATTATGTTTCATAATAGAAAAGGAATTTGAACAACAGAAAATGAAAAGGACAAAATCTCAGAATAAAGGAGTCTCATAAAGTATTTAAAAGAATAAAATTTAAAAATAAAAATAAAACAAGAATCAACAGAGTTGACTTGTGCACAAACATGAAACTCTTTTGTTGCTGAGACAGGAGAGGGGGTTGCTGAGTTCCCAAGAGACCAGAGTGACATGATTGTGGCTTAGGACCCGCAGACTTGGGTTTGAGATTTCACTCTACCGTCAACAAACTATACGGCACTGGTCAAACTGCAAATCTCTTTGAGCCTCATTTTTCCATCTTTAAAACTGGCATAACGAGGCAAAATCCCTTCCCTTGCTTTCTTTCCCAAGAAAAAAGGAGGAGAAAGGTAACCCTGAGAAAGAAGAGTTGCAGGAGAGTGGATGGTTAAAAGATAAAACCCATTGAAATAACCAAGACTTCAATCAAAACCAAATGAGGACATTTTACTAGCCAGAATTTTACCCTGAAAAAGGGGGAAAAAAAAAAAAAAATCAACTCTTAATCTAATCAATTTTGTATAAATTAAAAAGGCACTTACAGTTTACTTCTTATAAGGCAATTTGCATATTTCTGATTGCAAAAGGAGATTTTTCCTCCATAAGACGATCTCAAGGTAATAAGTGTTACTTAAAACAACAGCTAAGTGTTGATTTAGTTTCATGATAGTTATACATTTGCATTTCCCTTATTTATTGCTTATAAGAACAATAAGCAATAAATAAATAAAGAGCCACAAATGGAGTTGAGAAATGAAGATTTTCAGAGGTTCTGTAATTGGTCCACTCTTAAACTATGAGGAGATAACAGAAAAGAACCTGATCTAAGGCCTGTCCCCCAAGCCTGGGCTTTTACCTTCTCTCCTATAACATCTTGAAGAGAGAGTTTGTCTCTATGACTTGGCTATGAGGAATTCTTCCCAAAATGAGACACTTGATGTGAAAGGAAAAAGCACAAACTCTGGAACCGGAAACACCCGAGTCTGAACACCAGCTACACAGTGTCCTGGGGACCTCGAGTAATTGACTCACCCTCTCAGAACCTAAATTTCTTCAACTGTAAAATAAGGATAAAAACACTGGCCTTGAAAATTTGTATATGGATTATATATTAATTTGTGGAAACTAACCCATTACCTGGCAACATATTCAGTGATTTGCAAATAAAACAGTTATTTTTACTACATTATTATGAATGTAACTATTCTATTCACTATGAGAATAATGACACAAGGGTCATGGCTATCTCTCATACTGTTTTGCACATGATGCTCAGACTGATGGATCTGTTTTTTCACTCTTCCGCGACATAGTGGTATAAAAGTGCCTAGCAGACACTCAGGTACCACCACTACTACTAACTACTACTAGCAATAACAGCCCATACACGTGGCACTTACTTCATGCCAGTCATTTGTTGTAAATGTTATACATACAGTTAAGTCACAACAACCCTATGAAGTAGGTGATATTATCTCGTTCATGTTACAGATGATCAATTATAGCAAAAAAGAATTAAATTAACATACCTAAGCCACATAGTCGGGAGGGAATAAAGCCAGGACTTGAAGATCATTCTGCTCTGGATCATGAGCTGTCAACCACACTTCTGCTGCCAAAGGTGACCTTAGGAACTGCAACAGAGACAATGCAAGAAGAGAAGAAGAATGACATTGTGACACTTTTGCATGAAATTGACTATTTTCTTACAAGTAAGACAAAGCAAAAAACAAACACAAAACTAACAGAGAATCAATGTGGTATTGCTTAGCCTTTCATTATCAAAGTTCTGTATTCTCTCCTTATATTTGGTCAGTATTTTCTGTGAGTAGTAATAGCAGAAAATATATAAACAAACATATTTGACCTCAGCAGATTTTCCCTTAGTTTGGTAATTAATTGTACAACCATATAACTAGCCCACATTAACATATTCTCAATAATCAAAATCATAATCTTCATTCTATGTCTTTGAAAAAGGTGATGAGTATGCCCATTTCTACATAAGGAAGCTCAGTCTTGGTTAGTTTTGACTTCTAAGTCAACCTGCTCTCTGACTCTAAGATCCACACATTTTCTTTTAGAAACTACAACAGCTATGTACTGTGACTATATACCTGACTGTGCTGGGTACTGGGCAGATGGAGATAAATAAGACACAGCACAGCCCCAACCTTGAGTGTCCTCCTCACAAACCCAAGAAGATGTACAACCACACAATACAATTCTCTAATGTTTGAAAGCGTGCCATCTGGTAAGAATCTGGAATGAGGATGAGATGGCAGAGGGACAAGAAAGTTCTGAATAAGGACTCAACAATGGTTTTATATAGAAGGCACAGGGACTCTGTCACCAAGCCTCCATCTCTGAGGCCTCCAACACTGACACTTTTCTGTAAAACAGCCAACTTCTACCCTGGGCTTCAGAGTGCACAGATAAAATGTGTCTTTACAATATATTTTGTTTTGGTATGTAAGCGCTAAGTAAACGTTGGTGGAATACCAACACCCCGATACACTGTCCACCTTTGAGCGATGGTGCTGTGCAGGCAAAAAGATATGCAGAACATGAAGAAATATTTTGTTATCTCCTTGATTCAACTGCATTACAATCACAATGTATCCTTTAAATTGCTGCAATCTGTCAGATTAAGAAATGACAAAACACATTTCACTTTATTCTTGACTAAAGTGAACAATTCAATGACACAGTCTTGGAATTGAGTAATGAATCATTAATTTCTAATGACCCAGGGGCAATAAAATCTCTCTTCTGACACATGTGGTGCTGCCTTGTTGAAGTTTAATGAACGAGTAATTGACCAAATTATGGGGTGCTTCTCATCACCCTTAGACTTGACCCAGGACATACACAGCAAAAGTTTTCCCCATAAGGTGCATTTAAATAAACAGAAGTCTCAAGCAAGAAGAAGCATCGTAGTGAGGTACAGCATCTACTGGGAAAATGAGCACCATGTCTAGTCCTAACCAAGTTAGAAAAATGAGACAAGGGAGACAGCAACCTGGGCAGTGACAGCCACACAGAATCCAATGTCGGCACACTGCTTTATCTAGGATGGCAACTTGATTCTTCAGAATACACACACGCATTCTTTCCAGTAGTTACCGATGGTTGAAATTTATCTATAATTATTTTATTTCTTCCTCTAGTTCTTGATTACCCTGTGTGTGGATGACTTTAGCAATAAGTGGTTAATAATAGACCATGAAGCAGGAAAAGGAGGTTAAAGTCAAGATACTTAATTCTCAGACAGGATTCTCAGTTTCTGTAAAATCACTCTGCAAATAGTGATGCTACAAGGGATACCTGGAATGTGGAACATTCCAATGAGCTTCGGAGTCCAGTAGGCCTGGGTTTAAAACCCAGCTCAGCTACCCTGAGCAAACGTTTTCTGTACCTCAGCTAATTTCTTTGTAAAATGCAGTTGCAGAGTCAGTGGGAACTTTGACTGGGACCAATAGATCTGCAAGCCTCAGCTCAATATTTTCCACTGCTTCAGTGAAAGGAGCTCAGTAAACAGTACTGTTCTCCCCTGGGCTAACACTTAGCAGTGGAGATGGGTTTATATTGAACTATCTACTCTTTTAACCAATGCACCAAAAAGATAAACGGATGACTGAGTGCTATCCCAACTTCAGAATTTTGTTTTCAAAATCCACACATGGCATATTTTGTCAAATGCTTTCTGTTAAAGACCCTTAAAACTTTGATAGTCTAGAACATGCGTCGAGCATCCTGAATCGCTAATGACAAAAGGCAAATGTGAAAAACTAGTGAGAACTAAGGGGTCTGACTTCGGTTTTGGATCCTCACCAGATGTTCAAGGAATCCAAATGCTTTCAGCACTGGTCACACCTGCTTAATTGGCAATGATAAGAATCTTAGATAACGAAAGAGGAATTAAGTAGCTACAGATAAATGACCCGAAAAGGCTTAATGATGCTATACCAAACAGAGAGGAACAGAATGCAATCTAGGAACATGATTGCAAGTAGAACTGCAGGTTAATGACCTTGTTTTTAGAACTTAATGGGGCACGCACGGTCCCAGATTGGAAGTAAATGAATGATAGGATATAAATGTCTATCCTGGCATTTCATAAATAAATTACTATAACACTAATTGCACAGAAATCACCTTTCTTTAATATGATCCTTATTCAACACCTGGCTCTTTCCTAAACTGGCATCAGCATAAGTAGTTGACTTAGCTAAAATAGTCATAAATAAAGCCAGATACTTTTATTTTTTTAGGGTAATAGTTGCTGGGCACACTAATTATGTACAAAAGGATTTGTTGTTGTCGATGATGCTTTGGTTTTGCTTGTGCATTTACAAGAGGAAACTAGCACTAAAATGGGTTGGGAAAGCCTGAGGCCCTGTTGCTCTGTGGGAAACACCATCAGTTCTGACTTGATCCTCTCTCTGGGATGGTGATTGTTGCTAGGGCTTTAAGGAAACTTTCAGGTCATCTGGTTTCACGTTTCACCTTTTCCTTGGTACTAGGTAGATGCTTTCCTGGTCAGAAATGCCACAACTGTGAGCTTTGCTCTGGCTTTGCGTAAAACTCCACCAGTTTTATTTGGGGGGCAGATATATTTGAGTGTCCTTCCTTTGTGCTCCCAGCTTTCCTATGTGTGTGCAGCTCTCTCATAGTGCTTTTTTCACCACATTTCCTGGGGCAACCTGAGTCCAGTACCATGATCCTCTTTGCAGGATCATATACCTGCATATACCTGGAATATAGTAAGTGCTCTGGAAATATTGCTTAAACAAAGGGAAGGAAATCAAATCTGCTACTGCTTAGGCCAATCACTGAAAGCTAATATGCATTTATTCACTTAACCAACAAATACTTATTTAGCATCTCCTTTGTGTAATAATCTCCAAGAATAAAAAGCAAGTATTTAAGATATAATTTTTCCTTTCAAAAAATTAAAGAATCACCTAATGTTTTTGTTTTTTAAAGGAATACAATAGTAAAACCAACCAATGAACAAAAACACTATTTTCTAGGTGTTGAATTAAATATTCAGATGTTACTCCTCATCAGAGCCCTAAGACATAATATACTATTATTACCTCATTTTACTAATGAGAAAACTGAGGCACAGATTAGAAAACATTATAACTCTTTCTCTACAGGCAAGTGATGGACTAGGTTTAAATACAGGCCAAATAGCTCCGAAGTGTATACATATACATACAAATTACATATACAAGTACGCACCATATGATACTGTCAAAGGCTCAGAAACAGCCAAAGTAAAACCAATCACTGAAGCAGTGATTAGTAAAAACTTATTGTGCATACACCATAAGAATCACTGAAGTAGTGATTAGTAAAAACTTATTGTGCATACACCATAATGACAGTTTGCAAACTCATTCCGAAACATGGAATGAGGCTAGGGGCATATTGTTACAAAGCTTACACAGTGAGAAAGCAACGAATGTTTATCCTTCGCAGTGATTGGTTACGGTGTTAGCATTTTCAGTGGTTACCTTATCTTGGCCTTGGGAAACAGTTTAAGTTCTACTTATGATTTCCGGAGGCATAGGCGAGACATAACCAAGGTCAAGTTAGTACTGCAAAATAAGCTAAATCGAGCCTTGCTTGTATGTCTACACCATTCTGTCTGCTCAGGGAACCTTCAGTGGAGGGAATATCCATTTGTTTTTGGTTTCGACAACTGTCAAAAAATAAATGCTATAAATTCAAAGGAGGGAAAGTGATTGATCATCAAAAATTAGAGAAAGTTTCATAGGAGAGATAGATGGTGAGCTAAGCCTTTAAAGTTTGAGAAGCTTTACATGGGCAAAGAGGAACCACTGAGTGGGGCAGAGTGAGAAAAATCAGCATGGATGTCTGAGTGGACACGAGGTAGCAGGAGGAGGGGCCTCAGGTAAACTGCAGCCAGAGATAAGGCTGGAAAGGAAACTGTGAAAGTCTTTGACTGCCAAGTGAAAGTATTCAGAGATCTTGCTATCCAGGCACCTGACAGATTCTGTCTTTTACAGAACCCTATGAGGCTCCTCTGAGCCCTGGACCAGGCCTTAACCTTGGCCTGTAAAAACCTTGAACCTTGAACCAACACTAACAGAGTTTCTAACAGCTCAAGGCCATATCCGCAGGATGATCCTAGCCCCCACTTAAAGTGCATGCCTGAGAAAACTTAAGACTTCTAAAATGACTTACTGTTTGTTTCACTCAACACCAAAAGGTAGGGCCCCTAATCTCTCTGGGAAGGTTAGGAGCCTAACTTTGATAAGTGTCAGTTAGCAAACCCAGATGGATTTCACACGGACAGAGCCCTCTTTCTGGTTTTTGTCGTTTTTTACTTCCTTGGCTTTGCTTAAGCCTCTACGCTTGTCTCTCTCTACTCCATCATATTCTCCCTTTAAAACAGCCAATCACCTCTGCACAAATCAGTATGGAGCTCAGGTCTTTTACTATCAGTACTTAGCGAATAACGCCTGTTTTCATTGCTTTAGCTAATGTCCGGCTGCATTTATCAGAAAAGAGGCACTCTTACCAGATGGGCACACAGCTTGTCGAACAGATGGTATCATTGTGCGAGTTAGATAAAGAAGTTTCTGAGCAGGTACAGCTT